ACAGAGGGTCATTCTGCCCCTCCCAGACACACCTGAAAGTGGCAGTGACATGCAGTGAAGGCAAGCCCAAAAGGAAGTTCTTTAAATTGAACGTGCTCAGGGAAATCTAGATGCATAATCTGAAAGCTGCTAATTCACCTGATGCTTCTTTCTCAGTGCCTTATAAGTAGATTCCAGTGTCAAATATAACCTTGAGCATTCAGGTTAATTTATTTAAATAGACATTAAAGAGAAATTGTTGAACAAATACATAAAGTCTGAAATCCCAAACAGTTCCTCATTCTTTCCCTCTCCTTTCATCACCTTGAATGCTGTAAAGACTAATGATTTAATTTTATTAGCAGCTTTGAAGGTGAGGAGTGTTGGGTAATTGCTAAATACGTTTCTTCCTTGTGCTAATTTCCAGCTCCTCTAGCACCAGTCTGTCCTTATTTGACCCTAGCCAAGTGCAGCTACGTCATTTCATTCAATTCTGTGGCTTATCTGCTCCTAGAAGTGTTATTTTGAAATACCCAAAGCTTACCGATTTGAAGAGTCTTTCCACCACTCCAGGGCTTACAGATGTGGACTCTCACAAGCACTGCTCATCTGCTTGCTGCTGCTATTCAGTCATACCACCGATTTTCATGCTTATATGGAAACAATGTGATTTTAGAGCAGATTCAGATGAGAGTGAAGCCAGTAGAGGATAGTTAACAAAATGGGGGGAGGAGAGAGAAGAATAAAAGAGAAAGGCTGTTGTACACCAGCCTAGCAAAATTCCTGTAACAGGTGCTTCCCATCTGGCCACATAGTTTCTGTAATTCCCAGTTAGTCATCTAGGAGCTCAGGCTTGGAGGGACATAGCCACAGTGGGTTAGCACATTATCATTCCCAGCTGTCTGCTTCATCTCGTGCTCTGGAGATCACCTCCCAGAGCACAGGAAGCCATAAGGGCAGTTCCAGCTCACAGCCCTGTGGCTTTGTGCATACCCATGTTCAGCAGCAGCATGAGCTGCTGGCCCCACAGTTGCAGTAACTGGGGCATGAAAGTGAGTTCCCATCTGTTGTCCCCGTCACTGGGGTTACACCACTGTAAATATGTCTGAGATAATTTACCTATGAACCTTCTGCCAAGAAAAAAGGCAGGGGAAAAAAGCTCCATGAAGAAAAGTTCAGGAACTCATCTGGGCCTCTAGGCTGTACTACACACACCTGCTCAGTCTTCTAAGAAAAACCCAGGCAAACCCATCACTGTGAATACCTCGAAAGAGGCTGAAATCTTGCACTATGCTGCCAGTGCAGGTGGTATGCAAAGAAAACCACATCCCAAGTCAATACAGCAACAAACTTCCATCAGGGTACCACCAGGTAGGGTGAAATGGGAGGTGGGATGCATCACTAATACTGACATATAAGGGATGATCAGTAGCAAGATGCCACATACATCCCAAATTTATCTTTCACAAAGCAGGATTGTACTATAGAAGCCAGTCTTCAGCAAGAGCTGTACATTCAGTGCTAGATACAGTGCTGATGCTCAGCATCAGCCACAGCATCAGGTTCAAATAACACATCTAAAAGATCTTAGAGTGCACTGATTGTTTACAAAAGTCAGAGACTTGTTCCTTTCTCGGAGAAGTTGCCTGAAAGATTTAGAACCATGTAGACAGAAACTTAAGTTCAAATGCTGCTCCCAGGCACCTTCCTACTAGCTGTAGATATGTTGCAGTGTGAGTCCTTCGCACTAGGTACACAAAGAATGCCCTTTTTCCGATCAATAAGTGGATTTTCACTGATAAACCTCGATGTGTTTGCAAAATTTCCAACAATGTTTTAAGTGTTGGTAATATGTCAAAGCTGAACTGGAAAAGCAAAACTCTGCAACCAGTTGAAGAGTTTCTAGCTTTAATTATGGAAGAAGGAGCAGATTGAAGGGAGTGGGTGGAGGGAAGTCTGGGAACATACAGTACTGTGCACCATGAAATGTTGCAGGGAAGGGGAAGGCTGAAGGGCAGCCCCACGTATTTTAGAGATTTAACAGTAAATGTTATTGCTCTGCACATGTGAAAGACATAACATGTATTTTTTCAGTCTAACCAGCTCACTTCAGATTGAGGCAAACACAGAAGAATAAGTATTAAACCTCCATAAGAGACACACAGTGACTCACAGTTGTGCATCTGAGATGAAACACAAAAATGGCAATTGCTTCGAGTTGCCTTTGCCACAGGAGGGACTCTTCACCATTTAAAGAAAGAGGGGTATGGCGCACTCCCTTAGTGCATAACACACAGGTGAATTTACAGACATCTTCACTGGTCAAACAGCAAAACCCCACTATTTTCATTAATTTCCTTTTTAGCAGCAACTTTTCTGCCTACATGTTTTAGAACACAGACTCCCTGGCACCACAGCTTTAGCAACACAGCCATTCTTTCAATTGATTTTAGCAGGAGGCTCCCACCTCAGTACACCACAGCATCTAAGATGCTGGATTGCAAAGTCTTAGCATGAATTTCCACAGGGAGATGGTCAGAAAACTAATTGGGTTTCTTTTGACAGTGGAAAATTTGACATTTCTCAGCAACAGAATAACAACATAAAATCCAAGTTCTCCACAAATTTTTCCGGAATTTCTCATATGAGTGCTTCCACACTCTCTTCCTCTCTGAGGACCAGACAATACTTCTCTGATATCAGGGCCCTATGCTGCAAGACTAGCAGTGCAGTAAAAGACATCCATGGCTACAATGCACCACGAAATATGCCATCGGTTAAAGGAGCTAAACCCATAGAAATAAAACAGACACAAGACATCCAAACTAAAATAACCCTGAGGTCATGGCCATTGTAAGAAGTCCATGCTTTCAGAGAAGCTTGGTTTTATGAACATCCCCTTTCTACCAAGTTACTGATGAGAAATTTTGAAATAAAAATCAATTTCTAGCTCTAACGCCATGATGTAATTTGTTAATTAAAGCACAGTCTATTCACTTTGAAAAGAGAAGAGCATCGTATATGTTGCAGTGCCATGTTTGACCATAACTCCTTCTGGAAATTATGGAACTAACAATTTTAGTAATTTGATTACCAGCACTATTTGTAGACCTCAATGCTCAAATTGCTCTGAATCTAAGCAGCTGCTTCCTGAACCTTTTCATCGCACTACACACAAAACATAAACGAAAGGGGCTCTTGCAAAACTCCAGAGGAAAGCGGAAACCAAACTCTGAGAGATGGTAGAAACCAGAGGGGAAGCAGGAGTAACGGTCCCAGAGAAAAGAGAAGTTTGACATGCTTTCTGGCTGGAGTAGGAAACTGTTCTCCTAACCAATTCCAACAGCTTCTGAAACTGAAAAAACAAAGTGAGAACTGACAGGAATGTGGAAAGGGAGAAAAGACAACCCTCTGACTCTGGTCTGACTGATAAACAACTCCAGGCACTAACTATTTGTCCAGAGCAGATTATGCAACTGCAGAGACTGCTTTAGTGGTGTGGAGGACAAAATCCAGCAGAGAGACACAAAAAACTGTTCAAAATACAAGTGCCTTTTATCTGTCTCTTTTAAACTGTTATTTTAATTTACTAGAAATTAGGGCTTGAGTACTCCTTTCAGACCACACTGACGATCTGAGGGCTCACAGAACCTGGCTTAGCTAGAGGCCCCCAGGTCCTCCCAACACTTTCATTCATTTCATGATCCCCTCTAAGCAATCAGGTTTCAGTCACGCAGACTTGCTGGCTGCCAGCTGCTACAGCTGTGGGGCACTGCTGCAAAACAGGGCTAGGCTATGGGGATGCTAGCTCAGCCTCATAGAGGACACTCATGACTCAAGTTTCACCACAGCATCAAAGGAATTCTCCCAACATGTTATTTTCAATTCAGCAAGAAGACTAGCCCGAGCAACAATAACTTATAAAACAGAACTCAGTTCCCAAGTCTATATTTGTTACTACCAGCTCTATGTAAACCAAGGAACCTATGGCTGCTTCTGCACATGCCACAGTTGCTTCTCTTTTTTCCACAGAGAAGGAAGTTGGATGGACAGGCTGGCTGGAAAGCCATGTTGAGGGACAAAATTATGCCTAAAGCAAGCCTTGAGGCTCAAGATATGTTTCCAAAGTGGCCAAATCTTTCACCTCCAGCCACAGTTTTGGAAAACGCTTGCACATTCTGTTGGTTGTGGCAGCTGAGCTCTCAGTTTTTGCTGCTGCCTGTCACCAGAGAGTGACACAACGACAAGCCTTCAGGCATAGCATGAAGTCTCCTGGAGGCTAGCAAAGAAGAAGGTGGAACTGGTGGGTAAACAATTATGTTTATACAAGAGTTTTAGAGCTTGATGCAGAGGAAGGAACACTGTAGGAACTGGCAAGAACCATGTTCATGACAATCATCAGTCAAAGGGCTAGCTTTGACCCCAGCTCTGCTAAAGTCTCCCAGAAAAGGAGAAATGTAGAATATTTCCTGGGTTAGCAGTATCATGGGATGGTTGACCCAGCATAAAGTACTGCAGTATATCAGTTACACAATTTTATTTTAAATTTTGGACCTTCCATTCCACTTCAGTATTCAGTTTCCTAATTAGCCCCACCAAGCCCTCTTGTGATACAAATCAACTAAAAAACATCTTCATAACCAATTGCCCATCAGTACTGAGGAAGGAATGGCAGTGTACAGTATCTGGGAAGAGCAGCTGTACTAAGAATTCATTGTTGAATAACCATTTACTACCCACTACTGAGAGGAACTTGCTTTCTTTGAACTTGGCTCATTTTCCTACACAATAGGTTTTAGTCTCACCTGAGTGTGCTTCAGATTGAAGAGGCAGGAAAGACAGAAGTAGCTAAGTAGCTATTGAACACAGGGTATGGGAGCTTTGAGCACTTCTTGTAGGATTTTTAAGGAATATGTAATTTGTTTTTTATAACACTTTTATATTCTATTGCTTTCTTCTAAAAAGTCATTACATTTCATTAAAGACAGAGCTTTTTACCACTGCTTTTTGTCTTCAAACAGATCCCCAGCAAGATTTTGTTTTCAGCATTGACAAGTGTTCTGATGTCGCAACCCACACCTTTAACATCAGAGCTTCAATGGTCCTACGTAAGTGAATTGCTATTTTCTCACACCATAAACAGGTAATTCATGCGTGAGTGCTGGTATTAAGAAGTAAGCCAGGGCGAAAACCTCCCACAAAATATGAATGGACGTCATTTCTTAGAAATTTCAAAACCTATGCAGGGCTACAGAAATGTCAGTTCTGCTATCAGCTCAGCCTCAGACTATGTATGTCACCCTAAGAAGGTCCTATCAGCCCCCAACTCCTATTCCTCTCCTACCCTTCATTTATACACATGAATAGCCAAGGTGGGGGGTTGCTGCTCTAGAGCTTATCTTCATAGCTAAGACTTCTAGGGAAAGTCTTGTTGAACGAGACAGCTACAGCACCCACACTCTTCTGTCAGCACCAGCAGTGTTCACCAAATTGCCAAGGCTGTGACCCTTGCAGGTAGGAGACTGAAGGGACTCCCACAGAGCAAGGTGAGGACAGCCCTCTGCCCCTCCTGAGCATACAGGGAAACATGCTGGGGAAGTGCTAGCCTGAGGCAAAAGTCATGCCATCAGTTTACCACCATCAGTAGCTGAAATTATACCCTTCAGCACTGACTGATCAGCAATAAAAGGTCAAAACTGGGTGCACAAGTTAACATTAGTCATAGCTTGCTTTGTGATCCTTGCACAGAAAAGCCACCTTCTTGCAAACTTGTTGGCCCCAAGCTCACCTAGAACCTCTACTGCCAGAGCATAAATACGGAAGTGCTGCTGTACATTCCTGATGCTGAAAATAAATTTTTGTGCCAAGTGTCTTTTAACATTTCAGAACACTTCACTGTATGCTAAAGGTCTCCCTTCCGTGAGAACGCTACCCACTTGCCAAGGAAGCATCAGTTTTTGGGTGGCTGCAAAGTTAAACAAGCCTGCAAAAATCACATTAAAAGCATTGGTAAATATTTCTCCCACAAGTCAGAGTACAGGACCTCCCTCTAAATCCAGTAGCTTCACTGGCTCTGTCTTGTTAGCAAGCCAGGCACAAGCAGGCAACCTCCTAGCACTGCCTAGCTGCTCTGCTGCTCCCTGGCACAAGTTTGGCTTGGGCCAGCTTCTGTTTTCCCAGGCAGAGGTTACAGGTCACAGGTTGCTCCCAGGGGCCCATTGGATATGATCCCTCTGCTAAGGACAGCAGAAAATAAAGTTTAGTTGTAAGGTTGTAAGACTGTTGTAAGGACTACTAGATATGCTAGTTGACCTCGGAGTCAGAGAATGGTCATGGGTGTAGTTTATTTAACAATAAAGATATGTGCTATTATGTTCTTTGACATATACCTTGAAGGGCTTAGAGACCTGTTGCTTAAGCATGGATTTCTATGTATTAGGAGTTCTCAGTGAGGAGGAAAAATTTAAAAGCTCAAACAGCAGGGGGAAAAAAAATGTAATATTTTTTAAAATAAAGTAATACACCTGTTTACCCTTGCACTTTCTCTGAGCTCTCTTTCTGCTTTGTGTGTAGGACACAACATCAAGGAACTATATGTCAAGCTTCACCTGATCATAAATGGGAAGACGGTCTTAACCTACTCAGAGACCCTCTGCGCGCCGGGTCATTCTAAGCTTATTTTCTGTGGAATGAAGAAAGGAGGTAATTTAGGTAGCACTCTAAGTGTTTGATGGCTGCTGAATACTCCAAGCAGGATGCACCCGCTGTGCTGTTGAACGCACCAATACATCGTAATGTTCTGTTTACTTCAACAGCATGTTAATGGATGACAGAAACACAGTAGGACAGAGACGTTTTAATTTAAGAGCCTGCTTTTCCCCCTAACCTGTTTTTTTGCTTTTCTTTTAATCACAGAATATTGCACACACATGGGATTTCAAGTCCATAAAAAATAACTGTGGTTATATGACCCCATCTAATAGCAGAGAGGTTCATAATCCCTATTTATGGGCATGTGGTTGTCATGTGAGCAAGAACTATGACAAAAATAAAGGCTAGTTCTGTAAAAGAAATGGCTGAGCAAACAAACAACCATTCTGAACATGTTCTTCACTATTAAGCAAGTAACACTTCCTGTCCTCAAAGGATATTTTCAGCTCACTTTAATAGAAAATATGCTTGAGTAAGGATATTTGAACCAAGATACTATTTTATTCCATCTATGGTTTGCACCTTGTTTCTGCTCAACATGTGCCTATGCAGCAGTCACATGAATTCAGTTCCTGCCAGCTGAACTGCCAACCGGTGAAGACTTGCACTGGTTGGTTTACAGTGGTATTAGCTGCCCCAAGAAAGCAAGCATCTTTGGTCCCAGGTGAGCCTGGGCACCTCAGGGTCCCTTCTGCCACAACGCAGCGTAGGTAGTGCCAAGTTAGCCACACTATGTTTGGAAGAGCTATGGTCATGCTTCTGGACTTTAATATCCACATATCTTAAACAGTTATTCTTAAATCCCTCTTACATCATGATCATCTCTTTAGGCTGATTTTGAAATAGATAGAGTCACAGGGAAGTTTGAGTTGTTAGAGTACCAGTTAGTTACAGAAGCTCTGCTTTCCTTTCATCCACTTGCATCTTCATCCTGATAACGCTACAATAACTCATGTGCAAGGGCTATGAGTTTAAAGACCATGCACAGCACTACTGCTAAGACAGCTCCTGGAAAATGACTAAGACATTTCACACAGCACAGAACTATCATAAAGAATAATAGAGAAATGCTGCATGAGCAACCAATTATGTAAATCCTGTAAGCCAGATAGACAAAAAAATTAAATTCAGACATTTCTTCAATTTTGTATTGAATTATAAGAGGAAAAAACCCACCCACAGACCCACTGAAAAACTATCTTATTCTGATGAAGTACTAAACATCCCTTGGAGAATACATTAAGGAGAAGTAGAATCAGCCCTGAGCTGAGCACAAACTGCTATTCACACATTAAGCCACAAAGCCAAAACCTCCTGGGGTTTCCAAGTCCCTTAATCTTGAACTGACAGGCAATTGTTTCTACTAATTGAAGTACATTATGATATAAACCCATAGTTGGTTGTTTAAATAATACTATGTATCTTCATTTAGAAACATTCCTGCCTTTGTGCGAGAACCTCTGCCACAAACTTTTTAATACACACCCTCTCTTTCAGTAGCTATTATTATTTAGTAATTAAGTCACAGTGGGAAAGAAGTGAACTTTCTCAGACTGAGGTTCAAACTGAAAATGTGGTATTTCCTAGTTAGTTGACAGTTGATTCCCAAACATGTTTTAGGACACAGAATTGAGCTGAAGACCAGTTTAGGACAATTCAGGCATAATTTACCATATTAGCACAGCTGTAAATCTGACCTAATACCTATGCAGAAAGGAAAACATGTGGATGGCCAAGTATGCAGCCTACAGGGGAGCAGATAGCCCTTTCAGCTGAAGCTTTTCATGGAGAGCCTCTTTTTCCCTGTTGTACAATGTTTTCAACATCTGGCCAGACCTGACCTGAGTTTAAATATAGTTTCACATAGAATTTGCTTGTCTTTCACAAGGAGGCCAAAAATTGGCTGTTTCTCCCTCTCCCAAAATTAGACGGAACATCATCCTGCTAGAGGCTTCATTGATCCACTCACTGGTGTGGAAGAGCAGAGCAGAACTTAAAAGAAAAATAGACTTATAAGAGCCGGATGTAGTAAAGTCTTGGGTGTTTAAGGTTGTTTTCTTTTT